TGGTATTTAATAGTTCAGTGGTATGCCACTGTGATATATGACCACTTTGTTCATGTGTAAACACTGACACATGGTTAGTACAGGTTAAAGACACATTTAATTTTGATATTGTCTAGTTAACTAACACACTGGTCATACAGTCTTGAAGGTTCATCAGCTTGCCATAAAACACAATCTTAAGTCAGTTCCATCCACTTTCTGATTTATCTTAAAGGTCCCCTCCTCACTCCTCCTCCGTTGCCCAAGTGGCCATTCTCCAAGATGTTTCCCCACCAACTTTCTATATGCATTTTGTGCCTTCCTCATTGTAGCAAAATGTCCAACCTATCATAGCCTTCCGGACTTCAGCATCTTAACAATATTTACTTATGTAAGTCACAAAATTCAATACATATATTCTAAATTCTCAAGGCAAGATATTTTTCTAAGAACTATATTTTTAAGTACTTATGTTCTTTCCTCAAAATAAGAGATCATGTAACACACCCATAAAAACAAATGGTAAAGTTATTGTTTATACTGATCTTGATCATCAGTATTTTGAAAAATAAAAATAGCAAGATTTTGTTCAATAATTTAGTTTCCTAATTTTATCATGAACCTCATTTCTGGTTGTTATTCCTGTTCAAAAATAGTTTGATTTTGACACATTTTTAAATTATTACCACAACATGATATTTAGATATAATTTACTTTGAATTATTTAATTTTTGACTTGCTAAATTTTGTTTATTCCAAACATTGCTTATCCTTGTTTCATTTCTGTATACATAGTAAGATAATATCAATTTATTTCCATGTATGAATACAATTTATATGTCGTATTGCAAATTTTCTGCCTGCAGGAATGGGCCAATGAACCAATTTCATCATATTTCCCAGTAATTGAACGAGTCACGCGTGGTGAAAGATTCTTGGAAGCTAATTCAACAGATCTTTTCCTATCTGGTAAATTTGCTCAAGTACCTTTAATCACTGGAATGACAAAGGATGAATTTTCATACAAAGCACTACGTAAGTACATGAATGTCTTTAATTTTGATCCAGCCAAAGCTGACGTACAAATATGTTAACTTGTTTCTTACATAATGCCTTGCAACGTTTTCCTAATTATGTATAAACTAATATTGCTTGCATCACTCACTTTTGAAATTCTTCTGACATCATTGTATTTTAAGTGGCAAAACCCTTCCCAGTCAGTCCATATCCTCCTGAGGCCTAATTCTGACTGTTGTCCTCTAATGTGTTTTGTATGGCCCACATACTTTTTTTTATAATATCCCTACTGTGTCACTCTGTATGATAAAAAGAATTTACCTGATATCAGAAAACATGTCTTCCTAATGTTGTCAGAAGTCTAATTGGTAGTAACTCTCACTGTGAGTAACTGTTCAGCTTAATGAAAAATATAAAATAAGGAACTTACTGATAACACTTAGAAGAATGCAAGAGAATTGCAAAACCATAAGTTAAAGCTGATACTGGAAAAGTACTCATATAATAACTATCTAACTAAATGGCTTACAGAACCCGAGAGTTCATCACAGAATTAACCAAAGCCCTCCACTGGTCCCTGAACTGGGCCAACAAAATCCATTCACCTTCAACTCCTATTTCCCTTAGATCCCATGTGATATTATTCGCCCATCTACGTTTAGGTCTTCCCAGCAGAATTTTTAAGCACATCACTATGCAGTTTTCTCCATGCCCCATTGTCTTCTCTCCTAGATTCAAATATCCTCCTGAACATCCTATTCTCAAACACCTGCAATCTATGTTCCTACCTCAGAGTGAGAGACCATGTTTCACACCCATACAAAACAACAGGCAAAATTATCGTTTTGTATATTTTAAACTCATATAATAGATGCGTCAAATATCTAATGACTGATTCTGTTACAGAAAATTATTGAGTAATATAACAACGAACAGGAAGCACAGGGGACCAGGCCCAAAGAAAGCAAAACTGTATAGCTTTAACTTCCAGAGTATAGCTGGCAAATAACAGCAATATTTCCCTATATAACAAGAATTTATTTTAAAGATGTTTGTTAGCTTTCAGACAGTTTTGATTTAAATTCATTATTAATTTTATATGACTTCAATTATTAATACTGGAGTAATTTTCATATTATTTGTTAAATTACATTTGGTTTGAACAATAGAACAGTGTGCCCTACAGTATAATGTGATTTTAACATTAGAGGTAAAGATCTATAACATTTCTGTTTCATTAAAATACTATTTTTATTATTTGCCCATATGCTAAAATAATGCATGTTTATTTAAATCAGTGGTCTCCTCAGTAGCAGAAAATGTTTACCCTTCTTGCATTGGTTAATTAAAAAATCATGTGATGGACAATATAAAATTTGCAAGGGCCACCACATGTAGCCTGCAGTTTGCCAACCCCTGCATCAGAGCATTAAGAACACCTAATTAGATTGGAAAGATGTTCTCTTTACAGTACATTGGCATTCCAAAGATGATCTTCATGCCACATCATATAGGTCATTGTTTCAGTAATGTGGTCTGAGGGCATTGTTGTACAAGTGTGTTCCAACAATGACCTCTCTTCCTACTGTTGCTCAGCGTGTTCCAACAAAGACCCAGTCATGCAGGTTACCTACCCCAGATAAAAAAGTTGAAAGACAGAGGTTAGAACCATAAGTGTTCTTCACTCATGCTACAGCATAAAGAACACTCAATAATCTGAAATTTGTGCATTAAATATTGTGACTGTTTCTAATCTCTTGTGTAAAATATACAGCGCATTACTGTTAAAGTTTAATGCAATTGTTACTTGCTGGCTCATGGCAGGAACTGCAATAATATGTGTAAGTCAGTTTTATTGTTTTTATGAAACAGTACTTGACTTAATTAAGGCAAACCATATAGTGCTTGGCCGTGAGACATACAGCTCCAGCTGGGAAGTGACAGTCATATTCAACTTTATCAGTGAATGCATTATGTTAAGTACTGTAGAAATGTTTCAAGTAATTTTACTACTAGATTATGTTTACATTAGATTTTAATGTAAAATAATATTATTGTTTGCAACATTTCTGTACACATGGAAGTACCTTGCAAACACAAATTAAATATTAATAAAATAAATACATTAAATTTGTCATGCTCATGTATGTGTCAGGTGAACTATTTAATTCAAACTAAGGGAGGCTTATAGTTACAGGATATCAACCCTAAATATGGTGGCAACATGTTCCTCCAAAATGTTGGTACCTACCTGTAAGTCTGCATGGCAGAAATACCCAAAGGACAAACATTGACTTACAGGATATATGTTTAAAGTTTCAAATTAATTCTACTTTTATTGTTACAGCTGTCATTCTAAACTCATCTTGGGCTGAGGATATGGAAAATAACTTTGATTACGTGGCTCCAATAGCATTTGGATATGAAAGGGACACAGAGCGATCTCGGGTGATAAGTCAAGAACTCAAAAGAGTCTTCTTAAAGGATCAACCCTTGACCAATGCATCTCTTTCAGACTTAGGAGACGTAAGTTCAACTATTAAAACACTAAACAACCTGTGATGTATTAATGCTAGAGTAATTCTTCAAGAGGCACTGGAACCTTATAAGGTAACAATATGTGAACTGTTGATAAAAGAAAAAAAAATGTTATACAGTACTTATCTGATTATTCATATCCTTTTCAATACAAAAGTTTAGTCAGAATAGAATATTTGGTACTGTCATGTGAAGGGTTTGCAACACTTTCCAATTTACTTGCATTTTACAATTTGCATTATTTATTTTCTGCAAGACTAGTGTTTTAAGTGAATTTACACATTAAATTTTAATTAGTATTAGGAGAATGGCCTATTGCAGACAAGGATATAAAATATCAGTATTTTTTATATATAATTCATGAGGCCTTACTCCAAATAGGATGAATGCATCTCAGAATGAAATTGTATATATAGTCTGGAGGCTCACAATCTTGAACTAACCTATATGCTTCAATGTGCTTCCCATTTACTCACAATTTCTGTTACTCAATAAAATCTTCTCAGGCAATCAGCAATGTCAGACGGTTACAAATTCAGGAAATATTTCTGTCCCTATCATCGGGGTTCTGTTGTGATACATTTTTCACTCTGACTTCTTTTATTTGTACATCTTTACATTTCAATAACTGGTCTCCTTTAGACAGTTAACTGGCTATGGGACTAAATGTATTGCATCTTATGATTTAATATCTTGGAACATTAATTTTGTCTTCTGCCATTCTATTCTTTGTTAAATACTTATCTCAGTACAATTTACACATTAATTAAATAGCAATTACAAAATAAATAAAACCCTCTCCATCTTCATCCGTAATCACTGAGATATACATTTTGCACTTGAAACACTAGAAATGTACAGTTATGTGAGATATAAAGAAACTTTAACTGACAAATAACATATATAAATTCCCAGATGTATTTTTTTAAAAAGATCATGAACAATTGTTCAAATTGTCAGGCAAGTATATTAAAATATTTTATTGAATAATGAATTAAACTTATATAATTTGTGTTGTCAGTTATTTTCAGATGCAATAATTCGATTTCCTGAAGACATAGCATCAAAGCTTATATCTCGTCTGAGCAGTGCACCCCTCTATTACTATAGATTCTCATACCAAGGCCGTTACAGCACTGTATACCGTCCACAGACAAGTATTCCATATGGTATGTCTTAAATCATATTCCCTCATATTAACCCACCCACTACTAGCATGACATGTTAACACAACATAGCTTTTTGGATTGATTGGGCTTCATAATTTTATCACAATTATCAGAATACAGCTGTATAATTTTGCATAAAGCACATTAGAAGTATATAAATCTGTGGTAATAGAATATTTCAAGGTTCATACACAAATTTATAGGTTATTAGGTACATAACATTTATTCCATACTTATGTTTATTCACAACATATTAAAGAAACAGACAATAATAATTAATGTCTTACAGCTTGTATTTAATTTTTTATACATATCAATGAACACAGAAGCCATGAAAAATGTTATTTACTGATGATGGATATTTAATCCAGACAATGAAATTATTCAGACTGATCCACAACTTGGTAAAAATTGGATATTTCAAAATGTTATCCCTAAAATTGAAAAGTCACTTCATAAATTATCAAACTCTATCTTATTTTCAGGAGTTGTTCATCACGATGACCAAATGTACTTATTCTTCATGTCTGCAATAGTACCATATTTTACACCTGAAGATCCAGAAACTAAAATTGTGGAAAGACAAACAAAGATGTGGGCAAACTTCATCCAAACAGGGTAACATCTTGAGTCTTGTAATTCAGTGAAATGAAAAGCTAAATTAAAACCATCTTTACTTTTGTAAACAGTGATATTTGTAGACTAAAACAAATGCAAGTGTGAAAGAAGGATGGCTATTTCCTGTGTACCAGCTAAATAGTGCTCCTCAGATGCTTGATATTTGTTTTAACTGGCTCTGTGTGTGTGAGAGTGACAGATAAAACAAATATCATGGTTTCTCAAGAGTAACACACTGAGGTGTTGCATTGTAAAATCAAATATTGTTCTTCTTGATGAAGTTCCTCTGTACAGTAGGATATGATGTTTTCATGGTGGTGAGTCGAAAGATTACTGTCTTCTGGGTTGCTCCACCATGTTGTTTGGTAGAAGTTGATAATCAAGGTGATAATGGAGGCAGCAAGGACCTCTAAAACATTGATAAACTTCTACCAAATTAAACGGCACAACAACCCAGAAGACAGCCATCTTAAAGTTTCTCTGTATTACTGTGTGTGTCATTTATGTAAACATATCTCTTGATATTCTTGTTCTCATAACTGCTTTCTTCCATTCTTGAATTCTGAATAAATTATCCATTTCCAGGTACTGTATTTTAGAATTTATGTCTACTATCTGATTGGACTCACTGTTAAGCCATGTGTTCTGTTATTCCATTTGAATGGTTACCTTTAATATTATAATTTTGAGATCCATGAATATATCTTATCTATAGATTTATTGCATGCTTTAATATCATAATGTCTCCTTGACTTGTATTGGTAAATACAAAACAGTTTATTTTATAGACTATTTCCCAAATGTTCTGTTTGCAGAAACCCAACTCCTGAGAAGTCTGATCTGTTTGACAACGTAATATGGCAAGCACTAACTCCTACAAAACTTGCCTATCTGGATATTAACTCACATCTGAAGATGAAGGAGGGCCTGCTTCAAGAACGTATGGCAGTTTGGGAACGTCTCTTTCCACTGCCCACATTACCTCAGTCATCAAACAATAATTCACAGAAAAAGGGTTGAAGAAATTATACCAATCATAGACACTAATCCCCAACATATAAATTTACTAATACACTGTATCAATATTGTATTTTCATCACTGGTAAGTGAGATAAATGCAAGAGGCATAGTGGCACAAATAGCATTTTTTTTCATTTAAAACATAACATTTGTTTACTGTACTTAAAAAGCTTAATAAACATATGATATTCCTAAATGGACTACTGATGAAAAGTTACAGTTATGCCTTTGTTCATGATCTTCATGTGTGAATTGAATAACATTTTATTCACCATTTAGGGAATGGATAAAGTGGCAGAGGGCAGGCTGTCTTGCCACTCATTTATCTGTAAGTTTACTCAGCCACCGTCACTTGTAAGATCATCAAGCTGTGAGATCACACACGCAGTCTTTATATTGAGCCAGTTTATAAATTCTATAATATAAACATTAAAAGACAGTTTTGGCTAAGTAATGATGTTTTTCATGCCTGCGTTGTTTTATAACTCCTAACTGTAAATTACTTATATTTGCATGAAATAATTAAATTAAAACTCAGATTGTCAGGTGGCTTGTTTTGTTTCATGATACTATTTAAATATTTAGTCATTTGGTAATATTCTGTAGGCAGATAAGTGTAGAAGTTGACAATGAAACAATTAAACTGAAATTTTAATGAGTTGACTTCAAACTAATAATGGATACATAGTATAACAGAATCTATGGTCTCTTGGAGAAAGTTTCTAAATCTGAAAATTCTATTTCTTGTATTTTTATACTGTATAAGTATAATGTCACTCAAGTATGAAGAATACTTTAAACAGTATAGAAATTTAAGTTGATAAACTACACAGCATCCTCAAAACACAAGAGATTATAAAATCAGGTTAGTGCATAGTCTGGTAGTACCAGAAATCTAAGTTACAGGATTATTATAACTTTACGTTATTTTAATTAATTTAATTACAGATGTATTAAAGGAAAAGAGAAAACCAGGATAGGAATAGTGTAAATACGAGTGAACATCAGACAGCTTCTAAATTCATTTCTAACCTCCAACTCCCAATATATCATTCATACAGATATTACATGTTCATTCAGAAGGTCACAAGTTGGTCCCTTTTGTTTATGAGGTTTGAACTCCCAAATATATGAAATTAACTTGAGTATTACCATTGAACATTAAAGATCAATAGAAGTAAAGTGACAACAGCAGTTTGGGTCTGTCATAAGTAGACAGTGATAACATTTCCTATTTAAGTGAGTGTGTGTATATATCAGTTTGTGCAGATGCATATTAATGGGGTCTGGATGTATATAAATGTATGTGTAAGCCTCAGGAAAATGTCCCTCATTTCTGTTAAGGTAAATGAAAATTGGTATTAAATTTATTTTACTGATCACACATATCCAAGAATTTATCAAAAAGAAAGTAATTTAACAAACTTTAGCATAATATTCTATTTCACATACACAGGACTTCCTGATTAACATATACAAAAAAACATAACCAAGCTAACTACAAGTACATATATGCATCAGAGAAAAAAATACAAACACATAATTGGCATTCACTTGTAACCAGTTAGAAAGTTTTTCACACAACTCGACCTCTTATTTACTATACACAATTTAATGTAGCAGGATTCAACCAACTTCAACACGTTTCTGCGTTAGTTCAGTCTTCTACTTTAGTTAATACTTGTGTATTTGGTGAGATCAGCATGATCATGATCTCAGCTGATCACACATTCATTAAATCCATTCGGTAGAACTGTACTGAGATCTACAACTAGTTAAGGAATCTCATCTCTGTTGTTCAAGAAGTTCTTCTAAGTGACTGCAGCGTTTCAGTGCTGATTCATGTTGGGACTTCAGTTTCTGGATAGTTTCATCCCTTTTAGCCACTGCTAATTTCACCCTGGAAACCAGATCACTTATAATGTTTTATGTCAATTCCAGTAAGAAAGGTAATTTGTTCCAATGGTACTGGCAGTCTCTGCCCCAAAAAAGTTGCACATTCAAATTCTGCTTAAATAACAAAACAGACCTCTTTGTGTCAGTCACCACCACTATCTTATACTTTCCATAAGCAGAGGTATAACTACATGCTTTAGCAACCATGACAAGTTCAAAACCTCTGTAAAAGAACAGTTACTAAACCCCATCAGTAGGAAAGGCTTCAAACACTGCCACTTAATAGTTATTTTTATAATGCGGAAGGTCGCATACTCTGTAAGACACTTTATTACTGTTGCTCAGTTGCGAAGACTGCTAGAGTTGTGAAATTTTGACAATAACAGTAACCTGCAATTTCGTGTGCCTTTTCCACTCAGTTTTCCCTATTATTTAATTTATTGTCCCTGACTGCATAGTTTGCTTGCAAGTGTACAACTGCAGTGTACTATCTGCACTAGTCAAGCAGCAGCCTGCGTACACACAAGTGTCTCTCAACTTCTCTGGTGAAAATTCTCAGTCATAAATCTGTTGTGGAAGCATGTTGTGGTGATTATTATTTGTAAATATGTTGAAGAGACATTTGAATTTGGTAACGGACACTATTATGTGTTATATGTTATAAAAAGAGACAAAAATGTAACTTAATTAGGCGATTTTTATGTTTAAGCAGCCAGCCTATTTATAATATTATGACATACAGAAAAAAAATCTTGAACAGTAATGGCCAAGAATGAAGTTAATATGGATAGTTTAAATATTGTAAGATCAACAACACATTATAGGATTTGAGATTTAACGGTAGTGAGTCAGAAGGCAGCCATCTTCAACAACACATTCTTAGGAAGAAAAATATCCACAAATGGACACGGGCAGCACAAGGAGCATGATCATTTATCAAAAAGAGTAAAATTAAGAATATTAGGAAAATGTTAAAGTAGATTTTCGAAGTAGGATTTGAGGTTCTTATGATGGCAGGCTGCTGTCCAGGCATGTCAAGCCTATGGGTGTACTCCTGACGAAGATTTCTAGTTTCCTTCAGCCTGTAAAGGATGACCTGGGACTCAAGATTCCTAGTATGTACAGTGTGCCCTGTAAGTGAGATCAAGTCAACAATGCGAAGACTGGCAATTCCATTAAGACCAGGGTCATAAGCACCAGTGCCACATCTGTCAGAAGCATCGAGACAAGTCAGCCGTAACCAAATACAACATTAATCTGGGCCAGCACACTCAACTCCAAACATCACAACCCTCTTCACCAAGTCCAGATACATGGACCAAGGGGTCCTAAGGAGGGTTGTTTTCCTTTACTCTCTTTTTCTTTCATGTCATGTCATGTCATTTCCTTCCTTTCTGGCTAGGCTGTGATATGCCCCTCTTTTATATTGACTTCCGTGCCCTCGCTTGATCCTTACCTTATTCCCCATTGGTCTGGTCAAGGTTCTGTCTTGACTGACTGGTTCCTATATCTCAAACTGATTCCTTGCACGTGACTTATTCATCAGTCTGATGATGGAGGCAGCAAGTACCTCTGAAATATTGGTAAACATCTACCAGACTATATGGAGCTAAGACCCAGAAGACAGCCATACATATTTTTTAACTTTATTTCTTACAGACAAAAATACATAATAAGGAAAATTATAGAGAATAAGTACCAAAAATGTTTTAAAGAATTAAGACAGAATATTAAATTTTGCACAGAAATGGCTCTGGGAACAAAGTTTAAAAACAATTTTAAAAAAAGGATTAATGATGGGCTTCTAGGTGAGTACAAATGGTTCAGAGGAACATACTGCTTCAATCTTTGGACCTAAAGATATCCAAACATTAGAATGAGGAACTGAAGACAACAGAAAACAGAAGCACATCACATTTATTCACAAGCGATAACTGCAATAACTACCAGTGGAACTAAAAAGGAATAATCTAAGAAGGAATAATTCATAAGTAGATTAGGACAGCATGCCTTGTTCAGTGGGCCCCTTATGACACAGAATGATATAGCTTATCATCATGTTATGGGTGCAGGAGACAGATTCGAGACATTTCCAGAGTTTATACTTACTGTAGTTTCATCATAAACCCCATTACAACAATACATGTTGACAGTCTCTAGACTTCATGATAAAGATATTTCTGTATGTAATGAATTCACTTACTCACATATGAAGTAAGTGTTTCCATCATACCTATTATACACTTGCTGCAACTGCTCTTCCTTATCTGTCATCATTCTTGCTACCTCATCTACTTTGCTAGAGAGCTCCATCCTGTGTCTGGTTCTCAGTTCCACCATTTCCTCTCTCAGTCTAATGTTCTCATGTTCTGCAGCAGCCATCTGATTTATAAATTCTCTACGAACAATTTCCTTGACCTCTGTACGCTCTCCAGATAATCTGTCAACAATCTGTAATGAAGCAAACATTTCAGGCACACAAAATTTCTATTACAAACTTGACTTATATGTCTAGAATATGAATACTACAATAACTATTTCATCTGTCAGAATGCACTGCAGCAGTAAGATGAGTTTTGATGGATGAAAATGTGACGTCACAAAGTTATGAACATGGTTGGCCACTAGATTTTCCTAATATGAGTCAAGTATCACTGCAGGAAAAGAAAAATAATAAAGTCACCTGTGTTACAAGAGGTGCTGAACATGTCTCTGTGACAGCTGCACTCCAGTTTATGAGTGAATGCACTTTATAATAGAAATGATAAATAAAATTGATTTTTTTGGACACTCATCCTTCAGCATCCTATATGCATGAGTAAACGCTCTTTCAAAAGACAGATTTCTCACTTTCAGTGACAACAAAATTAGTATTATAAGATAAAGATTACAGTTATGACAGACTTTTGACAATGATGATAATAAGATAAATGACGCACATTATAAATATATGTGTGCCTGAACATTCAGCAATGGTCAAGGTCATTCAAAGACAGTCATTTTCAGATAATACGTGTGAAAGAAACAATAAACAGTTTGTAATGAATCAAATGGATATATGTACAACATGAAAACTTACAATGACAACTATAAATGCAAAATTGACAGGTCATGGGTGGACACTTTGTATACAGATAATTTTCTCTCTTTATCTATGTGACAATTTACATACTAGGAAAACACATTATTGTGCTTCTGCGAGACATATAATCAAACAGGAATGCTGGAGGATCTTCACCAAAAGAAACTCAAACTGAAATGGGGTGGCATTTGGATGGGTGAAGGTTGATTTAATTGAAAATTTATTGGAAGAGACCAATTAACTATCAAGGAGTCTATGGTTTAAAAATATGTTACAGGTTTTTGTTATAACATAATCAACCCATCAGACGTGGTTTCCCCAATAATGGTACTACATTAAAGTCTTTAATGATAAACAGAGATGAAACACTAACAGGAAAAGGGTGGACACTATTTAACTACGGACAATTTCCTGTCCTGATTTATGGAAAATACACTGTTGTGGTCCTGTGAAATATAATTTA